TAGGATTTGAAATGCTTTCTTTCCAGTAAAGCACAAAGCTCACAAGTAGAATTCAGGATCTCAGAGACCACACAGAGCAGAAGACTTTATTTCTAAAGTTTTTTTTTTTGTTTTTAATTATTTACTTATATGAAAGGCAGAGTTAGAGAGAGAGAGAGAGACAGAGGCAGAGACAGAGATCTTCCACCTGCTGGTTCATTCCCCAGATGGTCACAATGGCCAAGGCTAGTGCAGGCCAAAGGCAGGAATTTGGAACCCCATCCGGGTCTCCCAAGTGGGTGGCAGGAGTCCAAGCACTTGGACCATCTTCCACTGCTTTCTCATACACATTAGCAGGGAGCTGGATCAGAAGTGGAAGCAGCTGAGACCCAAACTGGCACTTATATGGGATTCCAGTGTCACAGATGGCAGATTAACCGGCTGCACTATAACGCAGGCCCCTATTTCTAGAATTCACAGCTCAAACACCACTAATCAAAGCGCCAGATGTGCTGTTCTTGGAATCGATGTAATGGCCTGTGATGCTCCTGGGCTAGTCATCTGAGTCTGCAGGGGCCACATGCATCAAGACCTGTGTGCAAGAACATGTTTACCTTTGTCAAATGGAAAAGGACATCTAACCAACTGCAAAATCTGGGACAAAAACTGATCTATTTGAGCCACAGCCTCTTTAGACAGGTCAACAAGGTCTATAATTATGTATGTGGTTTATTTCATTAGGACCCTAATGAAACGTGCATCTATTGAATGTGCATTTGGTTAAGCTAGCACAAAACTAGAGGTACACCGGGATAAACGACGGTAAGCCAAATTTCTTGACGCAGTCACTAACCATCCCACCTACTCCACTTAGAAAGTCAGTGACAGGAAGTGAGGGAAAATGATCCAAAAAGAGAAAATGAGAAAATTCTCCAGTAACTTATTTTTCTTTCATCTCCTGGGCCCTGAGACCTGGCTCTACTTCAACAGCTTGAAAAACAGAATTTATATCACATTTTCTTAATTAGGACCAATATATTCTAACTCTGTTACTTCATACAACAATAACATAGCCACCTAAGATATAAGAGGAGAAAGGACTCAATTAGGGTCACTTAGCAGAGGGGACTCACCCAACAACAGAGTACAAACTGTCCACTGAGTGTATAAAGAGGAAAAGGATTCATTAGCACCCAGATGGGGACAGGATTGCCTTTCCAAACTTTGGACATCAATTTCTGCTGCCTTTTAATAGGAGACTATGTTTCTCTTCAAATCAACGGGTCTTGGGAATGCCTTCTAGTGCTGAATGATTGAACATCAACTCATCCATAACTCGAGTTAATAACCATCATGTGATACATAATCCTGTGAAGTCCACCAAAATGGACTTAGAATGGTGTATTCTGTTTCCAAAATGGATTACTACTTTTCTACCTTCCCCACCTCATAATAAAGCTGAGTTTACCAAACTCAGAAAAACAGGCCCGCAGAGCAGACATAGTACTTGGCCAATAGAAGGCCAAGAAGGTCATAAGGTGGTTAAATTATTCACCATCAGAAACTGTAAAATCAGTTGTCTTTAAGATTCTGAATTCCATGCAGTAGGTAAGAGTTCAGAGAAGCAATCTTTGGGACCAGAGGTAGGAGTTTCAGCAGGGGTTATATTTTGGAGAGTTAATTATTCTGCTATCGCCACCTTCCTTTCCAAGTAAATTTAACTAAAAGTGCAAGGGGAAAAAAAATCAAAATCAAAGAAACTGGAGGGATGAAGATTAAGAAATGAAGAAACTGCAAAGTCCGTTACCTCCTTCTAATATAGCACACTCCGGAATATCAAATGAAAGTTATCTTAGTTAACCATTAAGTTCCACACTGGTGCAGGCAGCACACTCACAAATATGTGAGTACTGAAGCTGACTCATAAAAATCTAAAATATTTCATACTTTAGCCTTATAAAATACCATTGGTTTAACCCATTCCCTCAGTCATGTTACTTTAAAACCAATATAAAAAATACGTTTAACTTAGTTCTGGAAACTGTACTTTGAAAATAGTAAATACTGAAAGCCACAAGCAATTGGATTTTTAAGGCATGATTCCTATATTTGATCCTGGATTTTACTTAATCAGTTTGCTAAGCAACTGCACTATATATCCTATACTAAAATAAATACATATAAGCTTATGAAAAGGGCTATCTAACAGTCTTAACTGATAGCCCCTTCAGGAAATACTGAAATCCTTAAATGAAAAATAATTTTAAAACTGACCATAACTACTAAATTCTCTGCTAAATTTTCTAAGAATCCCAGTTTAAGTCTTAGTTTATAATGTCCTTAGAAGGTTGAGCTCTCTTTTCAGATCAAAGACAAGTACCATATCATGTAAAATCAAATCTGCCCGCATTATGGATTTAGGAAGTCAGTAAATGTAGGCCAAAGACTTTTTATTTTAAGACACTCAAAGACACTGACTTGGGTTGCACAGTACATTTTATTCTAATGCTTTTGAAAATAAAGACATTTTAGTTATTTCTTACATGAATGGAAATGGAAGGAGCTCATAACAGCCCATTTCAAAGAGCTACCAAGTTAACAATTTTTCAACATGAAGTATTTCTCCTGTGGTGAGTACATGAATTTTACATCCTCAAGAACGTATCCTTAAGTCATATATGTAATTAAGATTATGCAAATTATTTTACCAAAATTACAAAAAGATCATTAAAGATTTTTAACTGTTAAGATCATTTTACCCAAATTACCCACTACAAAAGTAGCAGAATACGAAACACTTGACTAAGTGGTTTGATAAAGTAGGCTGAAAAGGAAAATCACTCAGTAAATGAAGATCAAACAAAAACCCAAGTTGACATTAACCCTTTGAAAACAATGGCACATGTGCACACACACCCATACGCAAGAACTGGGAACTATCAGAATTTTTTCCCTAGTTTTCAAGAGTGCTGAGGAAGTCCAGCTTTGTAAGTTATGCAGAGGACAGTAAATATTAAGCTGCCTCAGAATTTACGCTACTGTACTTCCATTTTTAAGACCTGTATCTCAACTCCCCAGATGCCATCATCCACAGACACCATGCAGCCACCCCACAGACTTTCAGTGTCACCATTTATTATTTATAGCATTAAATGGGGGAAGTGGCTCTGATGTCACCAACCCTACCCAGTGGAATCACTGACTCAATAAACATTTTCACACTGGAGAAAATCTGGCTAGGAAAACATTTTGCTGGGTTAAGTAGATTCTTTAGCCTTTTCTCTCTCCACCCTACCAGGGTTGAAGTTGCTACAGTCTTGGGAGAGATACAAAGAAACTGTCGAGGCTTCTACAGGAAGAATCCCTGGGCATGGTCGTTTGCTGAAGCAAAGACTTCCTTCCCTCCAGAGCCCCGTTTGATTTATCTTCAATTGGCAGGTAATACCTGCCATATTTTATTTCCTCCACCACATCGGCCGCCAATTAGCAAATTCTTCACTTCTGCTAGCCACTCTCGCATGGTCCTGTTTCTAAAAACTCCTCTGGATCCAAGTCGTAGACGGAAAGGGGAGGAGGGTGTCCGTGAACCGTGGAGTATCAGCCAATGGCTTCTAACAGAAGAATGGTCGCTCCCCCAGGGGCCAAGGAACCCTCCCCCCCCCCTTTTTTTTTTTTAGAGAGAAGAAAGAATTGGCGGCAGTGATGAGCTCGACGGTCGCCTCGCTCCACCCCCCACCCCACCCCCAATTTCCCAAAGCAGCTGAAGGAAACGTGAAGTTATGGTTTCCCTTTCCAAGGGGATGGAATCCAGAGTACCTGGGGCCTCGCTGTGCAAACATCCCTCTCGGCTGGGTAGGAAACCCTTTGTCCGAGAAGCCTGACACCACAGGAGCCCAGGGAAGAGGCCCCTGATCCGTAACAGCCTCTGACCAGAGAGCTCTCCACCTCCCCAGTCCTGTAGGGCCTATCCCAGGCATCCACACAGCCCTGGGCTGGAGAGAGGGTGCTGAGACCCCTCTTAGGACCCGGAGGCCGAGGCAGCCCGTAACGATCTCCTCTGTACTCTCTCCCACCACCACCTCATTCGGCCTAAGTGGTGCTTGCAAGCGCGGTGCGGGCCTGAGCCAGAGAAATACAAGGTGCGCGCGCGGGGGGGGGGGGGTTTGATCGCCTCCCAAAAGAAAGAGAATGAGATGCTAGCACGATGTGACCTAAAGCTACAGCATGAACGAGCGAGGGTCGTTCCGAAAGATGGGCCGGAGACGGGACAGGGACGGGGGGGGGGGGGTGGGGGGGGGGGAGAACCGAGGGGCATGGAGGGGGCCGGGCCAAGTCCGGCCTGAGATCTCGAGGGATCGGGAGGCACCGCCGCTTGGGCCCCGAGGCCAAAGACAGGGCTGGCCCAAGATTCTTGGGCCGGAGGGCGGCCGGGGGAAGGGGCCCAAGGGCCCAGCCTCGCCCCCGGACCGTTTGAGGGTGGGGCCAGGCCCCGCCTGGGGGCCGGGACCGGACCGGAAGAACGGACGGTCCAGCGGGCCGCACTCACCATGAGCTCGATGGTCTTGTCTTCAATCACCGAGTCGGGCTCCATGGCGGCCCCGGCGGCCCCGCCTCGCTCTCCCCGCGCAGCAGCGAACGGCCCGGGCGAAGGAGGCGACGGCGGAGGCGGCAGAGGCGGAGGCGGCTCTCGCACCCACTCTAGCTGCCAGCCCGCCCGGGCCGCCGGCAGCTCCGCCCTCCCCCTCGGCGAACGCAGTACGCACGGCGGGCACTACAGCTCCCAGCAGGCGCCGCGGGCCCCGCAGAGCGTTGTGGGAACGAGAAGCCGACCCCGGGCCGAGCTTTCCTGATAGCCGGAAGCCAATTCTGAGCCGAAAGTAGCACTGCCCTGTGAACGCGGGACGTACAGACCAGAAGAATTAAGGGCTGGCTCGGGGTAGGGTCTCGGGAGCGCCACGACTACATGTCCCAGAAAGCCTTGCGCGCAGGTTCTCCTTCCGGCTGCCTTCTCTTGACTTCCTGGCAGCCTAAGGCTGCGGAGACCGGGACGGAAACTCGGAGACGACTCCCCGCTTGTCAGAGATCCTGCGTGTGCGACCAGTTTCCGCACATGCGCGATGGGTGTCTGCAGTGCCCATTCGACGCCTAAGTAGCGAGGCTTCGGGTCCGCCGGTGCTTGGGGGAGGGCGGGGGGGAGGTGGTGGAGACTGATGGATTGAGTGCATTAGGAAGGTGGGCTCTTGGGGCTCAAGTGTGGGAAGAGGACGGCAAGAGAGAGAAGCTTGACCGAGGGAAGCAGCTGGAAGGGTATGGGAGGACTGAGGGGGCTGGAGATGAAGTTGGGGAAGGGGGATGCTGACGTGCTGTGGGCCTGTCTGGCTGCCCCACGGATTAGGAGCTGAGACACCAAAGGGAATGTGCGTGGGCTGAGCCGCTCTTCCTCATTCATTCGTTCAGAGCTGCTTTGTAAGCATCCACCTTTGCCGCGTACAGCTGTAGGCACAGGGAGTCAGCTCTCAACATGACTCTGTTCTCGTGGAGTTTAATTGTGAGAGGAAGGCGGCAGACACGAACGGGAAGAATGGCAGGTGCTCAGAAGCAAAACTTGGAGACTCCTCTCAGTTGAACTCAGCCTCCTGACTTTGCAGACTTCGCCATTCCTCTGACCAGAACCCAGCGGGAACACACGGAGGGTTGAACGCATTGCTTTTCCTGCTAGTTGAAGTGAGTGAGAGCACACACCAGGAGAAGCCGGAGGAGGGCGTCTCAGGAAGGTGATCCGGGAGACTTGAGGCCGTCGAGACTGTCAGGCAGTGGTGGTCATTCGTTGATCGTCCATCTCAATAAATCTTATCAGAAGGAAGGGAATTTTGGGTAGAGGCTTAAGCTTTAGTTGGTAAAGGAGCAGCAGCCCCCTCCAACTAACTGGAATGGGTGTTTGGTCATTTTTTGTGGTTTGGACAACGTTGGTGTTTTATCTGCATTCAGGCATGATTAAGGATGGTCTCGGTTTTTGTCTTGACCACTCCTGGTCACAGCTTGGCCTTGTCTGATGTTGATGTTCTGTCCAATGATTCGTGTTCTACATGAGTGTACGAGGCCTAGCGGTCAGCTGTCATCTACTGATGTTACAGCCTGGATGATTGTACCAGGCCAGCTTCCAAGTGCTTTCCATTTTCCTCAAGTGTTTTTTCATTCTCACACCGTAAAGCAAAGGGACTGGATGACCTGGAAGTGTTTGCATTTCCGAGAGCTAAATTATTGCAGTGATTTGTATGCATTGAAGACAGTGTTAAGTTTCATGCAGGTAGAGTTTGAAGTTTCATTGTCCTTATCTGGTGCTTTTCACCAAGAAATTGAAAGAAAAGCAATAGGAAGAAACCGGAATTAAACAGTTGCCACCACTAACTTACTGCCTGAATTTCACCAGAGGCAGTGCTGCTGTATCTGGGCCTTGGTTGGAACACTCTAGGGAGTGTAAACAAGGGAATTAAAATTAATGACCTCTGCTTCTGTTACCTATTGCAACATAACAGACCACCCCAAGATTTAGTAGCTTAGAATAACAGAGTTTATTATTTTTTACAATTGTGTGGGTTGACCAGGCTCAGCTAGAGCCACATGGTGTAATCTGAAGTTAGTCATGGGCCTGAAATCAGCTGGGGACTCATTCAAAGTGACTTTGTGGCCCCTGCGGTCTCTCTTCACCACATGGCTTCTTCTTTAAAAAAAAAAAAATGATTTCTTTAATTTGAAAGGCAGAGTTACAGAGAAGGGAAAAGAGAGAGAAAGATATCTTCCATCCTCTGGTTCACTCCCCAAATGGCCACAACGGCTGGGGCTGGGCCAGACCAAAGCCAGGGACCAGGAGCTTCATTTGGGTCTCCCATGTGTATGCAGGGACCCAAGGACCTGGGCCATCTTCCACTGCTTTCCCAAGTGCATCAGCAGGGAGCTGTATTGGACTTGGAGCAGACAGGAATTGAACCGGAGCCCCTTATGAGTTGTCAACGTGCAGGTGGCGGCTTCACCCGCTACACCACAATACCATCCTCTCCAAGTGGCTTCTTACCACTCAAGCTTCTGCTTGGTGGCTTCAAAGAAGACAAGCCCCAATGAACAATTGCTTATCAAATCTGCTACACCACACATACTAATGCCGCTTGACCAAAGCCAGAGACACAGCCAAGCCCATAGAGTGGAAAGGGTCTAGACAATGGTGAGAATACAGACAGGCATGGTCCCTTGGGTGCCACTGATGTTAACAGCTAGTCTAGATCTCCAAGGCCCTAGCACCTGCAACGTGACTCAGCACACAGAGCTAGGAAGCCCACGGTGAATCATTTCCTACCCCCAATATGTAACTTTAGCCTACACCATCTTTTTTATTGTTTTAAAATATGAGTGTCCTATTTTAAAACCTGAATTTCTAGCTTCTCTTGAAAAATTGGAACATCTCACTATTAGATCTACATAGAAATGATATGCAGGGGTCGAACAGCAATTACTTTCTTTGTATGACGTGTGGCCTATGATTTTCCACAGTTGCCATCACTTCAGTTTGTCTTCTATCTATCTTTAGTGCACTTTTTATTGCTGTACACATATTATCTGAAACTGAGCAATATATAAATAAAAAGATCATTTAGCTCTTGATTCTGCAAGTCCAAGAGCATGCTTGGCATCTGTTGCAACCTCTCATCATGGGGATTAAATTTCAACATGAAGGGCAGGCATTTGGCACAGTGGTTAAGATGCCACTTGGTTTGAATCCCAGCTACTGCACTTCCGATCCAGCTTCCTCTTCCTGTGCACCCTGGAAGGCAGCGGATGATGGCTCAAGTGCTTAGGTCCCTGCATGTGGGAACTCAGATGAATTTCTGAGCTCCTGTCTTCAGCCTGTCCCAGCCCAGCTGTTGTGGGCATTTGGAGAGCAAACCATCAAGTGAAAGATCTCCCTCTCTCTCTCTCTGTCACTTTGCCTTTCAAAACTTTTTAAAAAAAAAAAAAAAAAAAAAAAGTAAACATTAGGAAACAAAAAAGTCAGAAGTAGTCAAACTAGGACTGTAAGAGGATACCTAATGACTTCCCATCCATACTCACAGAATTGCCCTTGTTTGAGGAGAGAAATGAGCAGGAGCATTGTGGGGGAGGGAGGACTCTGGTGAAGCTCTCTCAGGTACTTTTCTGCTAGAGCTTTAGCTCACATTCTCTAAACACGCTAATAAGCAGATGGTGTTGTTCTTCAGCCCTCCAGAAAGTCAGCAAGCAAAATGTCTTGAGCATCTCAAAACCTGTTGCCACGACCTCTGCTGCTGACCAGTTCACTTTTGCCTTGACTGGGTCACTTCCACGCCTCTTGGTAGCATTGCTTTCATTGGGCTTTGTCTTTGGAATCATACTGATAAATCCACGTTTCATCCCCAGTTGCAATTCTTGGAAAAAGTGCTACAGGATCTCCACCCCGCTTGTTTAACATTTCTATTGGAAGCTCTGCTCCTGACTCCAGCTGTTCTGAGCACAACGAGTTTGTGTATTCACAGAACAGAAAGTGTGCTCCACTTTATAATTTTTCAGTCAAAATTCAGTAAGCTGAACCAGCAAAGATGTCTATGGTGTTGGCTATTGTTTCTGCTATTTATTGTTGGTTTTTAATTAGGGTACAAAAAAGATTCGGTTTTTCCTTGCAAATTAATGTGAATGATCTGCCACTGCAAGCTTCATCTTCAATAATGGATCACCCTATTCTTATTTTTTTAAGGTTTATTTATTTGAAACCAGAACAGCAGAGAGAGGGAGAAACAGGAAAAGATCTTCCATTCACTGGTTCAGTCTCTAAATGGCTGCAGTGGCCAGGTCTGGGCCAGGCTGAAGCCAAGAAACTGGAACTCCATTCAGGTTTTGAGACCACATGAGTGGCAGGGACCCACTGCCGTCATCCACTGCTTTCCCAGACACATTAGTAGGAAGCTGAATTGGAAGCAGGGAATGCCAGTGTCAAAGGCAGCAGCCCCTCCATAAGCTTTCTGTAAACCATCAGTGATTTCAGGGCCGGCACTGTGGCGTAGCTGCTGAGGCCACAGCTTGCAGTGCCAGTATCCCCATTTAGGCACTGGTTCAGGTTATGGCTGTTCCACTTCCAATCCAGCTCCCTGCTAATGCGCCTGGGAAAGCAGCAGAAAACGGCCCAAGTACTTGGGTCCCTGCTCCCACTTGGGAGACCTGGAAGAAGCCCCTCCTGACTCCTGGCTTTGGAACGGCCCAGCTCTGACCTTTGCAGCCATTTGGAAAGTAAACCAGCAGATGGAAGATCTCTCTCTGTCTCTCCCCCCACCCCACCCCGCAACTCTGCCTCTCTTAAATACATTAATTAGTTTAAAAAAGGTGGGGGGGGGGGGTTACCATTCTTCTAACCAAGCTTCCCCATAAATTGGATGTTTGTTCTTGGTTTGTTCTTGTTTTAATTTTAGAGAATTTGTGTTTCTCTGATAGGAACTTTTCAAACTAATATCTTCTTAGTGCCTCAAACTAAATCCTCTTTAGATTGTTAAAACAAATTAGAGGCCGGCGCCGTGGCTCAATAGGCTAATCCTCCACCTGCAGCGCCAGCACACCGGGTTCTAGTCCCGGTCGGGGCCCCGGATTCTGTCCCGGTTGCCCCTCTTCTAGTCCAGCTCTCTGCTGTGGCTCGGGAGGGCAGTGGAGGATGGCCCAAGTCCTTGGGCTCTGCACCCGCATGGGAGACCAAGAAAGAGAAGCACCTGGCTCCTGGCTTCGAATCAGCATGGTACACCAGCCGCAGCGGCCACTGGGCAGGTGAACCAGTGGAAAAGGAAGACCTTTCTCTCTGTCTCTCTCTCTCTCACTGTCCACTCTGCCTGTCCAGAAAAAAAAAAAAAAATTAGTATGAGTTTTTTGGCACAAAAAAATTTTGTTGAAATCCCTGCATTGTTTTTTTTCATAATATGCATTTTTTATGAACCATTTGATGGCCCCTCATACACTCCTACAATAGGAAATTAACCCTTTGTATTAAAATCCAATCAGAAAAGCAGAACCAACAAGAGTGTAGTAAGAGATTTTTACAAGGAATTGACCTTATATCACTTCCAGTTCTAGTTATGTGATCTCTGTAAGAGATCTGCAGCCAGTGCTGGGTCTTAGGTAGGCAGGCAGGGAAGAAGGCTGTAAGGTAGGGAGGAGCAAGCATCAGCACAGACCGGAACCCCTGTCAGCGCCGACCACCTCTGGCCTTGGACATGCAGGTGTCAGGCAGAGGCCGGAGCCCTTTGTCACAGAGCTACACACACACACACACACACACACACACAGCCTCGGAATCAGAGGAGCTGAGAGAGGCTCCAGGGAAGGTTGAGCAACTGCAGATCCAACTAGGACCTCACAGCAAGGAGATGAGTCAGCAGATCCCTGAGGTACACATGGGCTCCAAAATGACTGGTGCCTCGCTTCCAAGCTGCACATCCTGCACGAGCATGTGCTGTGGCCCACTCTAAGCAGAAACAGAGGAACAGAATTCAGAGAAGTGTAGTTCAAGCTGGGCAACTGTTTCCACACCCTGGAAACAGTGGCTTAATAAACAGACTCTGTTCCTGTGCAATCTGTTCTGCGCCAACTGTCTTACAGTGACTCCACGTGGAATTCCTGGTCTCCACTGTTGCTGAGGGAGAGAGGCTGCACAGGAAGACCTACTGGTTAATAATTGCCCTGTCTCAGAAGCACATCTTTCCAGCCCATTGTGCATGGGTCAGTACTCAGCCACATGCCCTGAGAAGCTTAAGGAAGCCTGCGCAGTATACTGTTCCCGTGAGCCTAGAAAAAGGGAAATGAAGTCGAATTTGGCAAACACATAGGATTAGCTCTGCTACCCAGATGTACTTAATAATCATTTAATGAATCTTGGTAAAGGTGTTTTGGTATGCTTCCCAGGAATTGAGTGAATTTCTCTAGGGACTATATAAATACTTTTATTAGTCAGGTGGTTTCCAATACTTTGTTCTCAGCAAAACTGAAGAAGGATTAAATTGAGTTTTAATTGTAATAAAAATTATCTGGGGAGCAGGCATTTGTCCTAGTGGTTGAGACACCAGTTAAGATGCTCGAGAAGTCGCATGTTGGAGTACCTGGGTTTTGTTGTTGTTTTAAGGATTTATTTATTTGTTTGAAAGCCAGAGTTACAGAGAAGCAGAGGCAGAGAGAGAGAGAGAGATCTTTCCAGCCACTGGTTCACTCCCCAAATGGCCACAATAGCTGGAGCTGAGCCAAATTGAAGCCAGGAGCCTGGAGCTTTTTCTGGGTCTCCCACATGGGTGCAGGGGACCAAGGACATGAGCCATCCTCTGCTGTCTTCCCATGCACATTGGCAGGGAGCTGGATCAGAAGTGGAACAGCCAGGACTCCAACTGGTGTCCATATGGGATGCCAGCACTGCAGGTGATGGCTTTACCCGCTACGCCACAGCACCAGCCCCAGAGTACCTGGGTTTAATACCTACCTCTGGTTACTGACTCCAGTTTTCTGCTAATGCAGACCTTTGGGAGGCAGTGGTGATGGCTCACATAATTGGGTTCCCAACACCCTTATGGGAAATCTGGATAGTATTCCCATCTCCGTACTTAGCCTCAGCCCAACCTGGACTTGGTGGGTATTTTGGGAATGAACCAGTGGATGGGAGCGTACTCTCTTCCCTCTCTGCCTCTCAAATAAATATATAAGTTTACTGATAGATCATTATGTAAATTTTGACACAGTCACTTAGAAAGACTCCCCAAAAGTTGAATAACATTGCTAGAAGACAACTTTCATTCTCATATGAGCAAGTCTTCTGTACAAAAATAAAACCTAAAAATAAGTTTGACATAATATCCTTCCTCATTCTAACAACAAGGAGTATTTGTGCACAGGAATGCAAACCATTTTTATTTATTTAAAAGATACAGTTCTAATAAACTTAGATGCTCATGCTTAAGCATATTTATCAAAAGAGTAATAGACTACTTGATCAATTGTGTTTAATAATAATAATGATAACTTAATCCCTAGGATTTTTTGGCTAATATTGAGAACCTGTCATCACAGAAAATAAAAATTATAACAACATGTGGAAGAGAAGTACAATAGTGTAATAATAAAAGATTTTCAAATATAAAAATGCATTAGAAGGGCCGGCACTGTGGCGTAGCAGGTAAAGCCACCACCTGCAGTGGCAGCATCCCATATGGGTGCCAGTTTGTGTCCCGGCTGCTCCACTTCTGAGCCAGCTCTCTGCTATGGCCTGGGAAAGCAGTGGAAGATGGCCTAAGTCCTTGGTCCCCTGCACCTGCGTGGGAGACCCAGAAGAAGCTCCTGGCTACTAGCTTCGAATCAGTGCAGCCCTGACTTTTGCGGCCATTTGGTGAGTGAACCAGCAGATGGAAGACCTCTCTCTCTCTGCCTCTGCCTTTCTGTAACTCTCTCTTTCAAATAAATAAATAAATCTTTGTAAATGCATTAGAATATATTTTCAGGAAAAAAAGATAGAAGGATACTATGTAGACATTTGGCACAGCAGTTATACTGCCACTTGGGACATCCCCATGCCAGGTTGGAGTGCCTGCAAGTGTCAAGGCATGAAGTGCATGATGGGAGTGCACTTGGGGCTGCAATACAGGCGCTGGCAATCTCCAATTCCTTTTTGCTGCCCACATCTTAGCCAATCCAGTTGCCACACTTCTCACCATTCACCCTCCAATAACACTGAAGGCTGTTAACAATGTAGTTTGCTAAGGGTGCCAGCTAATAATTGGATCTAAAATAGAGCCAACCAGAGGCTGTGCAGTGCAGAACTCAGCAACCTTGGCGTGAACTCTCTTGCCAGAACCTGTCCCAGGCCCTTCTGGAGGCTTTTAGTAGCTTAGAGGGCTCCAAGACGTTCATCCTAAGGAAGATCCTAAATTCTGAGAAAGTAAGAGAGTGGAGAGCAGGCAAAGGGGTGAATCTGTATGGTGCTCTCTCAGTGAATTAGGTTC